CATTCCGCATTTCAAGACGGGCGCGCTGAAGGTCGTCATCGACACCGTGCTCCCCTGGGAGGAGATCCAGCAGGCCCATGCGTTGCTGGAGGCGAACAAGAACTCAGGGAAGATTATCTGTACCATCTCTTAAGTGCCGAAGAAGCCACTGAGCCTCCGTAGAGTGTCAAACAGACGCCAAGCTTGTCACATCTTCTCGAGCTGATGCATCGTCGGTGATAGTTGGATCCTCCCCCCGCCATTCGCGAGGGGCGGCCCCTGTTGGATAACGACCGAGGCCCTTTGGCCAGCTCTGGCGGCCGCTGTCACCCATCAGCTTGGCTGGCGTCGCCACCCAACGGTACGAAGCTGAACGAGACGGTCTTCTCAGCGGTTTCCGAGTTCCCCTGGGCGACCACCAATGTGAACAAAGGCACTCGTCATTCGATTTCGCCTCGTGTGGCTGCCCCAGGTCATCTCGCAGAACCGCAGACGAGCAGGTTGACACTGACAGCACCTTGCCTCTTCGAGGAATGTCCACCTTCCACCTCGGTGTCTTATCACCGGTAAAACCCATCCCCGGGACGCTCGAGCATTCTGTGGCCTGGATGGCAGAGAATCCCCTCCTTTAGAGTTTTTGAGGCTTGACGCTTGCGGCGCTGGCGAGCTTCTCGCTTAGCTTGCTGCTTTCCCCAATTCTGTGGCATTCGCATCGTAAAAGCACCCCGAAAACCTCGCGCCTTTCGTGGATCTTCGTCTGGCCCTGTCTGGTCCAAGTCTCAGCGTGTTCTGACTGGTTGCGGGGTGCATATGGCGGGATGTGAGACATTCCAAGACGTGGCGAGGACCCCCCTATTTTCTTTCTCTAGGAAGGTCCTCTAGTCCCTTGGGAATTCCCCGTTGAGTGGTCCGTCCAGTCCCTGGATTGCGACGTGCTTGGCCTTCGAGCCGGACTGGCAACGGATAAAGGTACGGTCGACGCCGCTAACGACCTATCGAGCCCTAGGCCCTGGCGCTATAGGACCATTCGCGCCCATCTTTGTGTCGGTACCGTCGCCCGCGCTCGTCATTTGCGGATCCAAAGAAGAGGATGAAGAGGGGAGAGGGAAGTAGCGCCTGGCGGCGTTTTTGTTGTTTTCCCTGCGCTGTTGGTGCGATCGTCTCCGTCATAAACTGAGTAGAAGACAAAAGCTGCACCTGGTCCGTCCTCCCACCGGGTCTGACTCTCTTGTCCTGTCTTTCCCATTGTCTCTGTGTCAGAAAAGTCCCATGATGCTGACTCTGCGGCTTCTCGTCCTCTTGGGAGTGTCGTGCCTGTTGAGGCTCACGGTCGCCCAGTCCCTGGCTGATGCTCCACCATGCGCCGTTAGTATTCTCACCTCATCTCATGTTTGCTTTTGGACGTATCTGGAAGTGAAGGCAGAAACTCTGCTTTGACCGCGGTGCACTGATCTGATGCTAACATACTGGCGACCTCCAGCTCAAATGCTTTGGCCAGGCGCTGGCCCAACCACAGTTCGCCAACAAGACACAGGCCCAGCTGTGTGTTGATGAAGGCTTCAACACCGCTGTCAGCGGGTGTGTACAGCCAGCATGTACCGTCATAGAGTCGCTGTGTAAGTAGATTGAACGCTGGGGTATTCTTTTAAAGAGTTCACGAGGGGTGGCTAACACTGTCGCAGCTTTCCTCAACATCTCGAGGACACTATGCGGCCTGCCCGAGGCAGACCATCGCAACGAGGCGAAGGTGACGAGTCTCGCCATGTTCGGCGTCGCCACCGTTTTCTTCGCATGCCGTCTTGCCGTCAAGGTCCTTCGGTTCTCTTCATGGGGATTCGATGATAGTTTGATGGTCGTCGCATATGTATGCCTCTGCAACCAACTTCAGATGACATTCATTCACTGACATGAACCCCTCTCAGGCCTTCTTGATCCCATTCATAGTCTTGATCCAATGCAGTAAGTCGACAGAGCATAACTTGGACCAGAATCATAATTGACGGTGACTTTAGTGATCCCTCAGGGACTTGGTCTCGACATTTGGGCCCTCAACGAAAACCAAATCACTTCTTTTCTAAGGGTCAGTACCTTATTGGTCACCGAGACCTGCTAAGCATCATCCCTAACATTCGACAGCTTCTTCTGGCCGTACAAACTCACTACATTTTCATTCTGGCAATCATCAAAGCCTCCATTCTCTACTTTTTCCTTAGAATCTTCCCGGACAAGTGGTTCAGGAGGGCTGTGTGGGTGACACTGGCCTACGATCTCTTCGTCGGCTTCATCTTCATTGTCCTAAGCTTCGTCCAGAGACAGCCTACATGGCTCATCTGGGAGGGCTGGCGCGACAAGGACCCCCGCGGTGTCGTCCTCGATCTCAACAAACTGGGTCTGGCCCACGGCGGCATGAACATTGCGCTTGACGTGTGGATGCTCGTGCTTCCCCTGACGCAGCTGTACAAGTTGAACCTCAAACTGAGGAAGAAGCTTGGCATCATGGCTATGTTCTGCGTCGGCATCTTGTGAGTAGCTCTCGTGCCGCAAAAGCCAAGGGAGAAGGTTGAAAGCTAACATGAGTCCAGTCTCACTGTCGTCAGCATCATTCGTGTCAAGAGCTTGGTGTACTTCGCTACGTCATCCAACGCCACTGCTGATGCGCGCGGAACCATCATCTGGTCCTGCATCGAACTGTGCACTGGAGTAGTCGTCTCTTGCATGCCCAACGCACGACAGCTCTTGCGAGAGGGCACTCGCCAGTTCAGAGATGTCACCACCAATCTGACAGGCAGATCTGGAACAGGCGACTCGTCACGTCGCAGATCTCACAGAGTGCTCCAGGATCGATCACTCGAGTTGCGAGTTGCAGTCAACTCACCCAGTGCTACAACGGCATTGGCTGACAAGAGCGCATGCAGCAGCGCGACCACGCCAAACACAAGTCATGCTGCCTCAAGTTTTGCAAGCGAGACAGATTTCAAGGTGTAAATATGGCGTCGATTTTTTGGAAACACTGTGTATCATATGGAATTGAAATATTTGGCGTTTCTGGCTGGGGAATTTGGGGATCGGAAGTCATGTAGTATTGAATACGGAATACCCCTCGAGCTATCGGGAAAAGGCTCACCGAAGAACCGTGTACATCATAGGTTGCGACCTGGACTATCATAAAAGAATCATGGGCTCAAGCAATCAAACGTAAACATTCCTCATCAACTCCTTAGTGCTCCTTGATCCACTTGAGCATCTGCTCATATGCGGTGGTCTGGGCTTCCTGGATTGACGCATCCTGGTATTCACCGACAACGGCAAAGCCTGGATAACCATCAGTATTATGTTTCGCCGACAATCACCAGAAACGGGGTCTTACCGTGAGGTACGCCAGGGTAGACTTGGACCTCGTGTTCCAAATTCGCCTTGGACATGACATCCTCACCGTGGGTGCGAACCTCCTCGGGGAAAAGAGGGTCGTTCTCAACACAAACTAAGGATATCGGTACTTTGATGCCGTTGAAATCGTCGGGGATGACGGATGCTCCGTGTGCAATGGCGCCGACCTTGATGAAGGGCCCCTTCTTGACCTCCCCAGCTTCAGCGTCAGCCGCCGCGCCCTGGCCACCTGTAGGCACACTTCTGTCGGATCCGAGGTGCAGAATGTATCGTCCACCGATGCAGTAACCGACAGCATAGACGCCGTCACCGTTCTTGACCGCGTCACTGAACTTCTCCTTGCAACCGTCAACCACCTTGTAGAGGATGGGCAGGACCTTCTCCTCCGTCTGCCGCGCGAGCCACATATCAATCTGGAAACTCTTTGCCGTCTCGACGATCTTGAGCTTGAAGGTGTCGAGGAACGACCCAGTATCCTCGGTGTCGTCAAATCTTGACGAGTTGGGCGCGGCATCACCATTGAACAAGTCAGGCATGACCACCACGAAGCCTTCGCTCGCGAACTTGTCTGCCTGGATCTGGTTGTTCGTCGACTTGAGGCCCGTGCCGCCGGTCAGGAGGAGGAGGAGTCTGGAGGGCGCATGAGGATAGTCGGCGGGCTTGGAGACGTAGACCTGCAGAAAGTCAGCTTGGAATCGATGGCGCGCATAACGACAACGCTTGCGACGCATGGAGCTACTCACATCAACACCGTTGATCTTGATGATCTCTCCACTCGAAGACTGGCCAGCAGCTGTGGAATATCAGTAAGGCGCATAACGGTCAGATGCTTTGTCGGCGCACTCACGAGTCGGGCGGTCCGTCACGCAGTGCTCGCTGTGCTCTCCAGCTCCTGCAGTTGTGGTAGTCGGGCTAGTAGACTGAGCTGGTGTGTCGGCAGCAGAGGTGGCCTCTGTCGTGGGCTCAGTGACACTCTCGGATACCGTCTCGGCGGCATCGCTCTCGGGAGCTTTCGTCGCTACGTCGACTTGGGTCATGATGTACGGCGGGGTGTCGTGGCAAGTGTGGTTCTTAGGTATCACGATAAAGGTGGGGAGCTACAAGAAAAGAGCTGCGTTTGGAGTTGAAGCGAACGGCTGGTTGAGATGAAGATAGGGCTAACTGGGTGGTTGCGACAAACATTGGCATACAAGCGAGTTGTCGGTCACGTCTCCCTTTGCACAGCCCTTCAGAGCGGTAAGTGAGTACATTACAGCGTACGTGTACAGGTAGCTCCGTGAGGTACTCCTCCAGGGATGACGTCTCAGCTTGATGCTGGTACCTAGAGCTGCCCCGCGAACACAAATGCCCCCGCTGCGCCTGTCGCTTGCTGAGGTAAGGTACGTGTCTGACCACTGGCCCCATCCCGACATGTGAGATAGTGCAGGGACCAGCTTACCTAAGGTCGGTAGCTAGGCAGAAAACGAACCCCGCCATCGCACCGGGGACGTGTAGTCATTAAACAGAACGCGTTCAGACGCGTCCTTGCCTCCCGCATCTCGCGAAGAACTTGCTGCACATACCTCACAACCCAACATAATCTTTAGCCGATCGAATTGTTCACGACCAGCATATACGCTTCGACTGACTTCATAATGGAAGCCGAATCCAAAATTACGAAGGGTGCCTTGGAGTACGTGTTTTTCTCTATTTCCCCTCGTCCTTCGTCCTTTCTCCCCTATGGTACTGACAGAGAACTTTCACAGTGCCATCTTCAGTGATGGTGACAATGCCGCTTCCAGATTTCCCGTTCCTGTCCTCCAGTGCCTGCAGATCAAGCCTTTGGCCGCACAAGCAGGCGGCGGTGCCGAGAGATATCGCATTGTCTTGAGCGATGTGAACAACTACGTCCAGTGCATGCTGGCCACCCAAGTGAACCACGTCGTTCATGATGGCAAGCTGGTGAGAAACTGCATCGTGCGCATCACCCAATACCAGGCAAACGCTGTCAAGGGAAAGAAGTATGTATTCTTGCTCTTTCTTGCTGTAAAGGATGGCGCTAACCCCCCCTCAGCATCCTCATCATCTTGGGCCTCGAGGTGATCGAGAACCTTGGAACACCAGACAAGATTGGCGAGCCCCAAGCCTTCGAGGCCAAGGCCCCACCAGCCGCCAACACCACAATCGGCGGCCAGAACTTCTATGGAGTCAAGCAGGAAGAGACAAAGCCCAAGCCCCAACAGTCGATACCAACACGAACCGCTGGAGGGGCCAGTGGCCAACACGGAAGCAACAACATCTACCCTATCGAAGCCCTCTCTCCCTATGCCCACAAATGGACCATCAAGGCTCGTGTCACCCAAAAGTCGGACATTAGAACATGGCACAAGCCTAGCGGCGAGGGCAAGCTATTCAGTGTGAACCTGCTTGACGAGAGCGGCGAGATCAAGGCCACTGGCTTCAACGAGCAGGTCGACCAATACTACGACTTGCTCCAGGAGGGAAGCGTCTACTACATCTCCAACCCGTGCAAGGTCCAGCTTGCCAAGAAGCAGTTCACGAACCTCCCCAACGATTACGAACTCACCTTTGAGCGTGACACACTCATTGAGAAGGCCGAGGACCAGAGCAACGTGCCGCAGGTGCGGTTCAACTTCTGCAATATTCAAGAACTGCAGGAGGTCGAGAAGGATGCAACTGTTGACGTCATTGGTGTTCTGAAGGACGTTGCTGAGGTATCACAAATTGTTTCCAAGTCGACTGGTAAGCCCTACGAGAAGCGAGAGCTGACCCTCGTCGACGACACCAACTACTCCGTCCGGGTCACCATCTGGGGCAAGAGCGCTACGGGCTTCGATGTCAAGCCAGAATCCGTTGTGGCCTTCAAGGGCGTCAAGGTCTCCGACTTTGGTGGCCGAAGTTTGAGCTTGCTTTCCTCCGGTACCATGTCAATTGACCCCGATATTACGGAGGCCCACCGTCTGAAGGGATGGTACGACTCGTCTGGCCGCAATGATGCTTTCAACACCCACAACAACATGGCAAGCATGGGCAATGCAACTGGCCGCAAGGACCAGGACAAGTCGATTGTGCAGGTAAAGGAGGAGAATCTTGGCATGGAGCAGCAAGACTACTTCAACCTCAAGGCTACCATCGTGTACATCAAGCAGGACAACTTCGCCTACCCTGCATGCATGTCCGAAGGCTGCAGCAAGAAGGTTACTGACATGGGCGACGGTACTTGGCGCTGCGAGAAGTGTGACATCTCTCACCCGAGGCCCGAGTACCGCTACATTATGTCCGTCAACGTCTGCGACCACACCAACCAGCTGTGGCTCAGCTGCTTCGACGACGTTGGCCGGATTGTCATGGGCATGTCTGCTGACGATCTCATGGCCCTGCGCGAGGATGATGAGACAAAGTTGGCTCAGGCGTTCGAGGAAGCGAACTGCCGCAAGCTCAACTTCCGTTGCCGCGCCAAGATGGATACTTTTGGAGAGTCTCAGAGGTATGTGACGTCCGCTGTTCAGTGTGATCCAGCACAATGCTAACAAACACCGCAGAGTTCGCTACCAGGTCATGAGTGCCACCCAAATCGATTTCAAGTCGGAGGGTGCTAAGCTCGCCGACCTCATCAAGCAATTTGGCATCAGCTCATAAGATTTGACGGCGCTGCTGTACGTTACGGAAAGAGATTTGGCACGGTTTGCCAAGCTATAGACAATGGTGGCGGAAAGGAGCAGATAGGAGTGGATGACTAGAATCTCATGAGCTACGAGGCAAGGACCAGTGGTCACACAATTGTCAACGTAAATGTTTCGCACAATGAACAAAAACTTAATGGCAGACGAGATGACCATTTTGCTATGTTTCCTCTAGTCCTTGGGTTATGGAACCCAAGCCCGCCTTGATGCAAGTCGCGGAGAAAATGCCACTTGTGGGCTACAAAGCAATTCCCAATAAACCTGCTCTCGTAACGCCGGCCTAATGCCCACCATCTCACGTGGAAGCTCCTCGGATCAATGACAACAAATATCGTGCCTTCTCCAATCGCACTCCTGCTGTCCTTTGTCACCATGATCCCGTCTCGTGCCTTCATTACTTCATAAGGCTCGCGTATCATCATATCCGGACCCCGGCATCAAATAGGGTGGCTTCTAGCGAGTCGGTTGAATGCCAGTCATGAGATCCTCATCCTCGATAGATGTCTCGAACATCTCGACATGCTGGCTGGACGAATCCTTTTGTGAACGCTTGGCCTCGCGGTCAATGTGCCTAGCGTAGTCCTTCGAAAACATGAGCCGGGCGTCGCTTGCCTTGGCCCATTTGTTGAGCGTTTCGATACGGGCATCGTCCGTAATCTTCCTCTTATACTCGGTGTGCTCAATCTCTTGATCGCGTGGGAGAAACGTAAGGCACTTCGCGCCGTCAGGGCTGGTCTCCAGCGCGCCAACAAGCATTCCACTGCTGATCATATCTTGGAGAAGCGCCCCTGTCTCGGCGTCTGTCTCCAAACTCTTCGCTGTCTCTGCACTGAGAGTTTTCTCGCGAATCTCTGAGACGCCAATCTTCTGATAGACGTCTGCAAGGCCAAGAATCTGCCACTTTTGGTACGCCTTCACAACTTCCTTCAGCAGTGTTGTAGTCTGGTCATCGACCCAGGTTGGTGTACCTGCCTCGACCGCGCTCTTGAGCTCCTCGGCGTTGACAGTGGAAAATAGCGAGCCAATATCGGTGTACAGCTTCGAGAGTGAGGCGTAGTTCTTGGTGGCAGCGGGTGCGATGAAGCTCGGAGGAGTGGGGGGTTGGCCGAGGGTCAGGAGGCCTGTGAGAATCCATCGCTTGTGGGCGTCGGTCATGATTTTGCTCGTAGCTCCGTCCCTTGTTGGCCAACTGATGATTCTCTGGTATGCCTTGTGCGCATCAGCCCACCTCAGCTTGGCGGTGAATATCTGAGCGGTGACCCATTCGTGTTGCATGACCTCCTCCCGGGTGAGTTTCTGGCTAAGGTGTGTGCTTGTGTTGATGTACGAGGCGGGGGAGGCTGTCACATCGCAGAGGTAGGCTGGCTGGCTTTGGTCTTTCATTCCGGGGAGGAAAACCCATGGCTTCTCGACCAAGGGAAGCACTTGGTCAATGTTATCGGTCTCGTAGGCCATTTTGACCACTGCAACATGGTGGCTCGTGAGCACCGCGCAATCGGGGTCGAGTCTTCTGAGCACGATCGCGACAATCTCGATAGCTTGACGAGCCTAGGGAAGCAGCAATTAGCCATGCAGAAAGCATATGGCAAGCTAATTTGTCATACCGGGTAGAACTTGCAATCCACGACATCCTTGACCAGATCGGAAAAGGCATCACCAACGTAGCGTATTTGTCTCGGATCGAAGGACAGCAGGAACTTGAGGGTGTATTCTCGGAAGGCGTCGGCAGGTATGGAACGGCCGGTATCGTCGAGGCGCTTCAATGTGTTGAGAATCGCAAGGAAGGCAACCGAGTGCGTGGCGGGGTTCACGATCTGGGACATGGGTCAGCAAACGTCAAACGACGACAGTAGCAAGCGCCAACGGACCTCTAGGAGCTGAGGGGCATTGGCCACGACTTCGTTTCCCAGGTCCTTGAAAAGCCTCGAGATCTGTGCGATATGGTTTTTGAGCGCGCTATCGTAGACCTCATCGGACATGCCCTGGTCGGGTTCAAAGGAGAGGAGGGTGGCATCCATCTTGCCGCCGTGTTGGCGCCTTGCCGGGACCGAGATGCGAAGTGAAGTCGGCAAGCTTGCGCGGAGACCAACGGGACAGCAGCCGAAGAAGTCGGCTAGGTTATCGACGAGTGTTCTCTTGGAAGAGACAGAGACAGACTCGCAGGAAAGGCAGTGTAGTTTGTGAAATTTGGGAAGTAGTGATCGCGAATTTAGGTTGCGGTACCGGTTGGCAGCCTGGAGGTTATGGAAGCTTGATGGCACCCATAGTGGTCCTCCCGCAAGGAAGGTACGGTAGAGCTGGCGACCCGTGGTGGGGGTGCCTTGTACGGTCCGTGCTCATCGTAGCTTATCCGAAGCTTCCCCAGTCGCTTGTTTCTCGGATAAACTGGCAATCCTTACTAGCTGCATTCCATCGCCTACAGGTTCCTTTTCTTACATAAAGTAAGGTCTGGACATAACTCGAATGAGGTAGGAACCCCAAAGGCCATTCGGAAGAAGTCACAAAATTGAGCTGGAAAGTGCTGATTTCGGCAGTCTCCTCCGTACCAGCTGCTCCTCGGTAAGCAAGGTGAAGGAGGGATTGGTCGACACTAAGGTAGTGTAATTGAGCAGCGGGGCACTACCCCTCTTACACCGAGATTTGGCAGTGTTATATGTGGTCATCGAATACTTCCAACAATAAAAAATACAGTCGTGAGGATAGTAGTTTGAAAATCGCTGAACTGGGAACGAAATAAATTCAAGAAGTGCATAGTCCAGTGATTGACCGTTGAGCCTGTGTCAAGTGCTTCATAGCTGAGATACAAGCTTGGGCAACCTGGTTACCCCGCCCCCACCATACTCCAACGAAAAACATTTCGAGATAGAAGTCTCTACTCTATCTACATCTGCCCGTATCTAGTGGAAAGCACACTCCGAGACCGGTCGCAAAACTGCGGTGCAGAGTTGCCAAAAAAGCACACCTGAGCAACAAGTATCATAAGCAAACATCAATTGATAACCGATAGCAATTCTGCCTCGCCGACAGCAGACACCCAGTCAGTGATTTTGTCTCGATCGTGGTGCCCTTCTCGCGGCTCACGTTGCCTCTCCTCTGTGATACCCAGCGACTAACAAACTGCAGCATACAATTCCTTCGACCACCTCCAAGATGCCTCTTTCTGACACCATTGAGCTGCCTGCAGCATTCGATGCCCACGTCCACGTGCGTGATGGCGACATGTTGAAGGTGTGTGAGCGCGAAGCCGCCTCCCTCAGGCTCATCCGTAAAAATGCTGATTATTTAGCTTGTTGCTCCTACTATCCGATCCGGTGGTGCCAACTCTGCTTTGATCATGCCCAACCTTACCCCTCCCGTGACCAGCACGAAGATGGCGTTGGACTATTCTTCTCGTATCAAGGAGGCTCTGGGAAACGATGAGGTGAAGCTGCTGATGACCCTCTACCTTCACCCTGACGTTACACCCGAAGTTATCAGAGAGGCCAAGAAGGCTGGAGTTGCCGCTGTAAAAAGGTAATTGAAATCCACTCAAGCCCTGTTTCGAGGTTTGGTCTGATCTGGATGTCCTTCAGTTACCCTGCCGGCGTCACAACCAACAGCTCTGCTGGTGTCGTCGACTACGATGCTTTCCACGAGGTCTTCAAGGCCATGGAGGAGGTCGACTTGCTTCTTTGCCTTCATGGAGAGTGCCCCTCCCATGCTGGCAGCGACATCACTACTCTGAACGCTGAGTCCAAGGTGGGTAGGCCATGCATTTTGTGCTAATGAACCGGATATCCTGACGCCGTCTCAGTTCCTCCCTACGTTGAAGGTTCTTCACAACAAGTACCCGAAGCTCAGGATCAGTGAGTTAAAGTACCCACGCTGCTGAATGATATTGACTCGTGCAATAGTCCTCGAGCACTGCACAACTGCCGAGGCCGTCGAGGCCGTCAAGTCCTGGTAAGTTCTTTTGGATGAACATTATTTAGCTTTGTTAACCGTATTCAAGTGGCCCCAACGTCTCGGGAACGATTACTGTGTAAGTTTTCCACAAAAGCTTCCAAGGCTTGTAGACTGACATATTTAGTCACCACCTCTTCATTACCATCGACGACGTTGTTGGTGACGCCGTACGACCGACCCAGTCCCTGTTCCTTTCCCTGTCATCACACTGACCTTACTGCACATAGATGAACTTCTGCAAGCCCGTTGCCAAGCTTCCCCACGACCGTAGGGCCCTCCTCAACGCCGTCGTCAACAGCAACGGCAAGTTCTTCCTGGGCACCGACTCCGCCCCTCACCCCATCACCTCCAAGACGGGCCCCTCCAAGGCCGCCGCAGGTGTCTTCACCCAGCCCTATGCCGTGCAGTACCTTCTCACCGCACTCGACGAGGCAGTCGTCCGTGGAGAGCTCAAGGACGCGGACATCACTCTGGAGGCTATCGAGGGCTTCGTGGCGCACTACGGCCGCAAGTTCTACGGCGGCTTCGAGGACCAGAAGGCGGAGCGAATCCGCCTCACTCGTGGTGGTGCTGTCATCAACCAGGTCCTCGAGGGCTCTGGTATTCAGGTCGTTCCTTTCCGCGCTGGTAAGGAGACCTGGACCCTTCAGTGGCTGTAAAAAGTTCAACAATCATTTTGGCGGCCTTTGTGAGCAACAACTAGGAATAGGAAAAGAAGGAAACCCGGTGATGATTGCGAACCTCCATTGCTGGTGTATGTGTTCTATAATACATACAGTCTCTCAAGTCAACAAAGCTGTGTTTTTCTTTTTGGAAGATCCCCATCCTATCGTCATCTCATATCTCATTGCCAGTTGCCCCTTTCTCTCCTATTTAGGTAATCCATATTTCAGCCAAGAAGGGTCTTAAAGACCTTAGTACCGAGATCCATTATCTCGTTCACCCATATCGTTCAGCATAGAAAAGTTGTTCGGCATTCCGAAGCCACCCAGGCTTTGGTGGTACCTGTGGGGGTGGTCGGCCGTTCGCTTCGACGGAGGGCCGATGGGACCCCAGACGCAAGGGGAAGCAGGAGAAATCATGCCCTGGGAATACGCAGTCCTCTGCTCTGCCTCGAATGTCAATTTTGGCTTCATGAGCCGGTGCAGAGGGGAACTTACCTGCGGTAGTCCTGTAACCGCTTTCGTTCTGTCTTGTGGGCGACGACGAGCGCATGTGACCCTGCGGCCTTGCACCTTCGACTCGTCTCCATGACTGCGATGCTCTCGCTGGACTTGAGAGGTCCTTTTCAGACCTGATGGGTGACGGAAGTGCTCCTTGCTGGGGCTGGGCGTCGTAGAACGTCTCGGTGCCGCTTGCTTCCTGCTGTTGTTGCTGGCGTTGCAGCTCCGCTTGCTGCTTCTTCCACCAGGTCGGCAGGCCATGGAACAGACCGAGGGAGTGTTGAGTAGCCTTGTCCAGCGGCATCTCGTGCTTGTACTTGCATCCTTGCTGCGTGAAGGCGCAAACGCCCTCGTGAACCCACTTGTCGCAGTAAATCTTGGGCTTCTTGGGCGGGGCGGGAGAGGAGGCAACGATGTGGTCGATTCTCTTCTGTAGCACAAAACGTCAGCGTGACTCAGACTCAGACAGTCGCCATCAAAACACGGTAGGAGGGCAATAGGTGGAGGGTCATCATTACCTGAAGAGCATCAGAGACCGGTGCCGGAGACGGTGGAGGGGTCTGAGATGTTCAGCGCCAAAACCCTGGTGCTTGGAAAATGACGAGAGGAAGGAATACCATACCTTGAACGCGACCGGCTGGATGGGACCACCCGATGGATTCTGGTGATCCAGCCCTCGCGGCGAGGGCAGTACAAGCATGCCCTCAGCACCGTGCTGCACAGCTGGGATGCCGACCAAGGGTGGGAGAGTATCAGCAGGAACGAGTCTGGTGTAGTTGCCGTTGCCGCGGTCGAGGCAGTAGGCGTAAAAGCCCGATGTGTCGACGCCCACGTCCTGACCTTGGTCCGTAGCAGGTTGGTTCTCTGCGTTAGGGGCTCCCATAGCCATGTATTCAGGACCGCTGGTCAGACTGGGCGTGTGGTAATGGCCGTGAACTTGGGCAGTAGCTGTCGTCATGTTCATACCCATTCGCCAGTTCGGAGCGTCGATGCTGCGTGGCGCGGGGGCGGCGTTGGCGAGCATGTGCCTCATCGGCGCCTGTTGTTGGTGATGGTGTTGAGGTTGGTAACGACGGAAGGAGGCAGGAGGCATCTCGCCAGGGTATCGGAGGTCCCTCGCCTGGAGAGAGGTGGATGTTTCCATGCCGCAAATCCGCACGCCACTGATTCCGTTCGTGATCGATGCTGACGGGTCAAAGTCAGGTGTCGTACCGCGCGTCGAGGTTCTTGATGCCGGGGGCGAACAAGACTTGTCGGAAGAGGAGTGAATTAACATCGAGTCCATACTGGGTGTGAGAAGAGAAAGTGAGAAGTTACGAAAAGAAGAAGGATGAGGAGAAGAGAAAAGGACAAGTCTAGGGCACGGTGGAAAGTCTTAGTCCTGGCGGGGTGCAAACGGGGAGATGCCAATACGTTACCCTATCTATAATGCCGTCGACCGCGATCAGCACCTCTGGAGTCGCCGAGGTACGTGATTAAAGACGACTTTGACGTTCTCTGCAGCATGCAGCACGAAGGCGAATTCCGGACCAAGATGCCAAAGGCTCAGACATGAGAGCCTGATGCCTAGGACGCGAGATCCTTTAATCAAAACAGTCGCTGTACCAGGACGAAAAAAAGATGCGTTGCCATCGTCGTTTGCTCGACCGAAATAAGGTCCGCTGCACTCATACGGTTACCTGCATTCTTGGTTTGTACCTCACCACGTGACAAACAGCTGTGCCTTCACTGTTGAACAAGTCAAACCATAGATTGATCCTCAGAAATATCGCACTGCGTTGATGCGACTGAAAGCAATGCAATGTCTATTGGCCTATATGCATGCATCATCTAAGCTAAGCTGTGTAAGCGTTAATGAAATAGCCGGGCGAGAGGATTTGTTTGCAATCCTCTGGCTAATGTCCCATCCTTGCCGTCTAAATCCAAACCCATACGCCTGCCAGGTCGGTAGCAAATGTCATTATGTTCTGTGTTGCAAAGCTATCCTATGTAGCTTCTCTCGTAAGACCTGCTCTGCTGCAGGTGTTCTGGCTTTCGCTGGCCAGTGTTGGAAGGTATCAAGAGCAAGTCGTAATTGTATCTCAGTTGTAAAAACTGGGCATTGAGGCAAAAGATGTCGCAGGCCGCAAGTGGCACAAGCAACCGCGTTGGGGTGCATCTGAAATGGGCCAGATGAGGTCTTTCGAGAAGACTTTTCTGCCTTATTGAAGTTCGCAGAATTTGGTAGTTGTGGCCCGGAGCCTGGAAGTTGTGGGCCAGACCCCGTACCGGAGATGTGGACATTGTCAAGCCATGCCATGTCATACTTTAATGGTCGGCCGTACTTTGGGGGTCGGCCTCGTTTTCCACCGTTGGCGAGCGGGAAGATCTGTAAGCCGGGCTGGACGGGGTTGGAGTATCCTGGGGGGTTGGTAGTAGAATACTGCGTTCCGTTTTGGTAGGCTCTTTGGGCTGCGATGCCGTGGAATCCTTGGTTGACTTGGCTGCCTGGCTGGAGGCCTTGGTTGGGGTAGCCTTGGATGGAGTGGCTTTGGATGTGGTGGTTTTGGTTTTGGTTTTGTTTGGGGTTGACTTTGGCGTCTTTCTTGGAGCTCGTTTTTGGGGGGTTGACTTGGCCGACTTTGACGTCTTGGAGGATGCCGCGGCGTCTCTCTTTGGTGTTTTCCGCGTAGAGGGCGTCTTCTGTGGAGTCGAAGAGTTAACTTGTTGTTTCTTGCGATTCGGTGTCTTTTTGGGAGTTGAATGAGGTGACGTAGACTGAGAAGAAGATTTCCTGGCTTTACCTTTGCTCATCGTGTTCCTGTCCTCTGGGTCAGTATCAGGCTCCTCGTCCTCACCACCCACGAAGTCCTCGTCGTTATCGGAACTACCGCTGTGGTCGACAGCAAGATCAGTAGCAATGGGGGCGTTCGTCTTGTAGTTCACGGCCTGCGGCGGTTGTTAGTGTACCATGTCCATCAAATCGATGTGCTGACCAACCTGGCGGCGACGTCCTCCACGACCAAGAACTTCCTTGTTCAACTCCGCTAGTCTTTTGGCCTCGGCCTCTCTCTCAGCAAGAATCTCCTCCCAAACATTAGGGTTCACGGTAGGTTCGTTCTCCTCTGCCAGGTTATCCTCGAACCCGCCCTTGTCGTTAGCCCAGACGCGAGCGAACGAAAATGTCGATTCGGCGGATTCATCTTGGCCAGTGCTTGTTTGCTCGATATGAGAACGATCGAGAAGTTTTTCAACACTTGCCTCATCGTAACGTATGATGTCCTTTTCGTTTTGGTCATCGCTGAAAAGCGCAGTAGCTCCGAATTTGAGGATCGATTCCAAATCATCCGGCTCCCCTGTGTCGTCCATAGCCTCAATCAACACATGATCAAGAGCCATCTTCTTGCGGCCAATCTGCATGATCTTCTCCTCCGCGGAGTTCTTCGTCATGAGCTGGAAACAGAGAACCTTGTGCTTCTGACCGATTCTGTGCGCGCGAGAGATGGCTTGAATATCCTGGTGGGGGTTGAAATCAGGATCTAGGATGATGACAGTATCTGCTGTTGCAAGGTTGATACCTACGCCTCCTGCTCTGGTTGAGAGGAGAAAGGCGAAGACTTCGGAATCCGGGGCGTTGAATGCGTCGATATGCTTCTGTTTCTCGTGGCTGTTGATCTTGCCGTCAAGACGCCTGTGCAAGAAGCCCAGGCCGTTCAAAAAGTCCTCAACGATATCCAGTTGATCCAAGAACTGGCTGAAGATGAGCACACGGTGTCCACGCTCCTTGAGTTTGGGCAACATGATACTAAGCAGCATCAGCTTGCCAGACGCAGAAACCAGGTTCTCATGCATCTTGACGTGGTCCACAGCTCTCTCCTCAATCGCATCGCTATACATGAAAGGATGGCAAAGACACTTCCGCAACTGCATGAGGATGTTGTTCAGACTACCACGCTCTTTCTTGTTGATCTTGTCATCTGCAAAGATTGCCTTGATGAGGTCGGGGCTTTTCGCCATAATAGATTTGCATAGCTTCTCCTGAAGGATCGACATTGAGACTGGCACAATGATCTGCGCCATCGGAGGCAGGAACTTCAGAACCTGAGCTTTCGTTCGTCTCAAGAAATATTGCTTGATTCGCCCATGAAGTTCTGGCAGGTTCTGTGCGTTCAACTCCTGGTACTGTTCGTCCAACTTCTCAGCATTCTGCGTAGGGTCGATGAATTGCAACAAATTGAAGAGCTCTCGCTTGTTGTTTTGCAATGGCGTGCCTGTCAGGAGAAGTCGGAAGGGGAACCGCATCGCGCGCAATGCCAGGTACAGCAAGCTCTTGTCATTCTTGAGTCGTTGACCTTCATCAACAATCAACCCGGCCCACTGCACAGAGCGAAACAGGTTCCTCGTACGGTCATCCTGAGCGGAGTCGTATGACATGACCACAACATGGGCCTTGATGTCTGACGAGCCGTTGGGGAAGAGCTCGTATTTGTAGGCTAGTTCCTGGGGTTGCTTGCCGCCATGGTAGGTCACAACTCGAAGCTCTGGGGCCCATTGCTTGATCTCGCGGCGCCAGTTTGGACAAGTAGCATTTGGTACAACGACCAGAAATGGCCAACACTACACTCTGAGTTAGTCACGATCGCAGATTAGGCAGGGTAGAAATACCTTAGGTTCGCCTAAAGCCAGGGCAGAGATCAAGCTAACGACTTGAACTGTCTTCCCGAGTCCCATCTCGTCGGCAAGAATGACATTCTTGTCTTCGTGGTAGTTGTACAACAGCCAGTTGACGCCTTCGAGCTGGTAGGCCATGAGGTTGCCCCGTCGGATTGCTTTGGGCTGCTCGGTTAAAGCGACGAACTTTTCCTCCTTCCAATCATTCACTCGCTGTTTCATCTTGTGGTTCGTGGGACTGACGAAATATTTGCCAGTGAGATACTCGTAGTAGGCAGCCTTGAACGTATTGTAGATCTCCCCAGTGTCTGGCTTTGGGGGCTTATCCCAAACGGCCTCATCGTACCCTAAGCCTTGGAACTTGACGTAAATCTTGTCGACACTCCCGATCCGCTCCATGTCGTCCTGCAGGCTTCGTGATCGTCCGTTCTTGACTTTGGCAGCGAGGATGACGTCTGTAAGAAGGTATTCCTCCGGGATAGCCTCATCAGTTGTCCATCTCAAACACAGATTTTGCTCTGCGTCCCTCTTCGCAAATGAATTCCGCATAGCTCCAGGAGCCATGTGAAACACCCAGGCCCCAGGCATCCAGGTACAGTGAAAGTATGAGCAGTCCGCCCATTTGATGAGGTAGTCTTTCTCGTCTTCATAGAAGTCGCTGTATGTCATTCCGTCTGAAAAGGAGTCCTTCTTTGTAAGTCTCCAGGCAACCAAGGTCTGAATCTTGTGGGAAACCATGGCGCAATCATGGCACTTCCAGTCCACTGAGTACTCAGAGAGACGTTGGTCACGGACATTGGATAAGTCGGTGTCCATCTGAGAAGACGGCAGGTGTTCATAGTGCCAGCCGCGCTTGCATGAGGTGCACCGAAAGAGGACGTTTTCTGCATTGTTGACGAGAGCCGGGTCCACAGGTGCGATGGGATCCTCGCCTCCATTCTCAACTCGAAGCTTTTCTTCTTGCTTTGGCGTTCTCCTTGGCGAAAATGCTGCACAAGAACGTCCCGGCTTTTCGCATCCCTGGCAGTTGTGATGACGAGGGGCATGCTTATCCTTCTTGCCGTAGAAGCCAATGCAGTACTTGCACTGGAGGACGAAGTCTTCCGCCCCAACCTTCGTAACCAAGTGTTCTCTGGCTGATCTGTAGCCCAGGCAAACTTTGTGAAATGACATGGAGCAGCCCTGGCAGCTGACAAGAGGACCTTTGTTGGCGGCGGGCCCAACGTTGCAACTGCTGCAGATATCTGAGTGGAAGGTCAAGAATGGCGAATCATGTGGAAGTTGCTTGAAGACCTCCTTGACATTCATCACTCTTGGTGCTCCAACCGGAGCAGTGTCCTCGATGTAAAAGGATTCCTCGTCCATCGGGGCGGAGTCGAGCATGCTAGCCTTGTTTCTGGTAGATCTGCCGGATCGACGGCGATCCTCAAACTCGATCGAAGAATCGCGTGATCTGGGTTTCGCTTCGGGCTTTGCTTTAGAGGATTTTGATCGTCTGGGCTGCTTGCGCCTGCCTCGGCCTGGCTTTGGCTGAAGGTCCGATGTAATGAACGTGAAATCGTCGTCTTCTCCGTCAGATTGCTGAGGAGGGGGATCTTGGGAAAGTTCGTCCATGTCATCATCGCGGGTCAAACTGGGGTTTCCGAAAGCCATGCTAGTGAGTGTGAGCTGCTTTTGAGTTCGTTCTCTCAGTTGTCGCTGTGGCTGGGAAGACTCGTGTCTTCGTGAACGAGTCCGCCGGTTCTCATCTTCATCGTCAGAGACAGCAGCGTGGGAGTTTTGGCGGGTGCTCTGTCTGGTGGTCGTGCGTTGACGTCGCGAACGACGGGAAGAAACTTCGTCTTCGTCTTCATCATCGGAATCAATGATGGATGTGAGGCGGGCGCTGCGCTGAACGACGCTTCGTTGACGTTTCGATTGGCGAGGTAACTCTTCTTCATCAAGTTCCATGAGATCCAGGTCCGCCTGAGAATCGGCCTCGGAATCCTCCAAAGTGTCCTCCCAAGATCGCTTCTGCCCGTGGAAGGCGCCAGTCTCGACCTCAGAGTCCACGTCGCCCTGCATTTTCTGAAGAGCAGATTCACCCCCGTCGTAGGCAAGAAGGTCTCCGAACGGTATCTCGGCGGAGTTAGCGTAGTGTCCTTGAAGAGTTTGCGGTGGTAGATTCCTATCCGCTAAGTGCGGCCTTGCTTGATACAGCTCCATAGCAGATGTTCGCACAAGTAGGGTTGGGAGGGTGATGTGCGATGAGATATGGTCTTCGAAGCAACCCGCAACACAATTCAAACACCTGATAGCCGCGCTTCCTCAGATTGGCAAGTTCTCTGGACGAACCGGTGTGCAGTAGTAGCAGTCGGTTAAATGAAGCTAAGCACTAGGAAGTCTGAGGGGAAAGTGCTTAAGAGAAGATATGTGAAGCCTGGATTGTGGTTGGGTGGAAGTGATGTGGGAGTGATGAAGTGTGTAGAGTGGAGAGTGAAGAGGTGATTTATATAGATGAATAGAAGCAGTTGAAGACGGCAAGAGCAGCAGTAAAAAAAAAGGAAAGAACGTTCGACTGAGAGAAAGTAGAAGGAAATAGTAACTCACAATATCTTGTCGTCCATCGGTGAACTCGACGCTGTACCACAATTCTGATTCGGGCCCTTCCACCTCTCCAATGACCTCGTCAACGACGTCGCTCTTGATGGTACGGTATTGCGCGCACTCTTCGGGGGATAGACGCCGTAGAACAATTTCTATCCGGACTGGGCGAACTCGGTCATGCGTAACCTCTTCGGGAACTCCTTCCGCAGCCTCCATGTTGGTAGACGCAGTTTCCAGGCCGACGACTGGTTCCGACATTGTAGCAACAGGCGCCACCTCCTCGTAAGTGTCTATCGAAGGCAAAGGTTCTTCTGGGTCAAAATCGTCTGAGTCCTGTATCGTAGCGCCCTGCGGCAGATGGCCTTTCGTCGCGGCATCGGTGGGGAATGCGCCGTCGAAGGTATCGACTGTAGCCTCTTCGAGAATATCCTCGTTGACAGCGGGGTCGGATTGGTCGAGGCCTATCAGTGCATCGCTTGGAGAGCCTGTAACAGACTGGACGATATCGTCGTCAGCGGTGTTCGTGAAGTCCTCCATGATGCGACTGCTCGAAACGGAAAGGCATGGGGTCGGGGCGGGTGGGGTGTCGCGCGGACTGCGTCGGATATTTAGAAGTCGCTTTAAGGAAAGACTGAAAAGAAGAAGGCGAAAATGGAATGGAAGAATTGTCCTGCAAAGGCAGGGGATCGGTTGTGGGTGAGCGCACTCAGAGAAAGGACGGCCTTTGAGACTGGGAAGTCTTCACACTTCGACGCGACGCTCGAAACCGCGTTGCCATTAAAGTTGAGCTGCCGTAGCGTGTAAAGCACGGGTACGTACCGCCAGCCCGCTCTTGGTGGGGTGGTTGCGCCGATGGAAAGGGCCCATCGAAGACTCGTTGGCCAACCAGAGAGCCAGGGTCTACTTACCGCTCGGGTCCCTGCTGCAAGAATGTGGCAGAAAAAAAAAGTGCCACTATCGAAGACTTGCGATTTTGGCGCTGCGACGTTTTGCACATTGTCGCCATGTTGGAAGACATCGACACCACTACACGTACCGAGGCCTGGACTTACTCCATGCATGCTATGCGATGAGTCAACTTCTGAGATGGAGCGCCGTTCGCCCGCATACAACGACCCATAGAGCTTTCCAGCTCACTGGCACCACCGGACAGGTGCGCCATGCATCTCTCTCAGGTATCCATCGGGGTCTTCGACAGTCGGCAAGACCCGGTTCCCCAAACGGTCGCGCAACAAGTCCGAATTCGAGAAATCGTCAGGATAATCGCACGAGACGCCCAGACTTCAAGCCCCGCCTGACCGAGTCTCGCGGTCGTAGCCCGAGCCGAAATCTCCCATCGAAGCCGGATGCCTTTGCCAACAAATTCAATGGCGCGATTGGCGGTCGCGAACGTCATTTCAAGCCGAAGAAAGCATTTCAAAAGATGCAAGAGCGCGAGCAAGAAGAAGAGGAGGGAGGGAGAAAGTCAAGGAGCAAGCGGTTCAACAACCCAGAGTACTCGTTCGGGAAGAAGAGCATGGTGTACCAGCTCAACCGCGGCGAGTTGAAAGATAAAGTCTCCAAGCTATTGGACAAGGAGGGGATGAACGAAGATAAGACGGAATATCCGCGGTCAGGCTCCGCATGGAGAGATCTCAATCGGGACGCCTCGAGGCCCAGAAGAGATGGAGGTTGGAACTCAACAAGTCAGAGGAGGGATGGTGATTGGAAATCGACAACTCCCAGAAGAGACGGTGGTCGCGATTCGATGAGACAGATGAGAGATGGCGTAAGGAGGGAGTTTGAGCGAGATGGTGCTGCGCCTCGTAGACAGACTCGAGGATCAGACGACGATTCTTCTGCCAACAGACCGGCCGAATTCCCACTGTCGATTCAGTACACGACAGCAGCATCGCAATTTCTATTTGGCCGATCGGTGGTGAAGGCGGCTCTGAGAAACTCTCAGCGCAAGCTTTACAATCTGTATGTCTACCAGGGGAGCAACAAGAAGGACACGAAGGACGACGCCTGGATCGTGTCTATGGCAGAGAAGAAGGGCATCAAGGTCAAAAGCGTCTACGAGGCCGATCAGAAGCTGCTGGACAAGATGAGCAAGGGTAGACCACACAACGGTCTTGTTCTCGAGGCATCTCCTCTCCCTCAGCTGCCGCTTGTCAGCCTTGGGGGGTTGTCGGCCGATTCAAACGGCTACAAAGTCTCCGTGGCTCACCAGTCCAAGGAAGACCTCGAGATCAACGGCACGGAAGGCTCCATCCCTTGCAAGCAGGGTCAGTCTCGGCCGCTAGTCCTTCTGCTGAACGAGATTTTGGACCCTGGTAACTTGGGTGCAATTCTTCGTACAGCTTGCTTCCTTGGCGTGTCAGCTGTGGCCATTACAGATCGGACATCGTCTTCTATCACATCCACCGTGTTGAAAGCTGCGGCTGGGGCTGCGGAAGAGATTAAGCTCTTCACTGTTGAAGACCCAGGGCGGTTTTTGAGTCTCTCGCAAGAGGCTGGCTGGACGTCATACGCTGCCGTTGCACCCACGCTTGGATCGCGTTCGAACCGTCAGTGGACTCCGGACTACATCGAGGACTTCAAGCCTCTTGAAAAAGAGCCTTGCATCCTCGTTCTTGGTAACGAAGGCACCGGTCTTCCCTACGACATTAGGAAGAAGGCGACGCATGAGGTCACAATTCCACGAGTGGCTTCAACCGCAAGCTCTGTGGACAGCTTGAACGTGAGCGTTGCTGCGGCGCTGCTCTGCAACTCGTTTTTGCGAGGAGTACGCCAGAAAGATCCTCTGACGCTCACCGAGAGGTTGCACATCGATGCTCGTAAAGCAGATGGTGGAGAGACTCTGTTTTGATGCGCAGTTGGTGCACAATAGGAAAAGCATAATGCCATGATGTAACATTTACAATCATCTGTAAAACTACCATGTATAGAATACGAATACCTCTCGGCACAAATGAATTATTCTCTTCTGGCAGCTTGACTCTATTGTGATATATGATGGTCTGGGACAGTCTTGCACATAACACGGCATCTGCAAGGCACCGGTAAGTGCCCACTCGAAGTACTTCCCGTCGTGCATGGATTGGCGATCTCGGCTGCTGCAAGGCAAAACCAAGTCGTCGGCGCAGGCGTTTCCCAGCCGGCGCGTCGGTCCTTTGAAGCTACCCTGGTAAAGCTTAGACCAGACCCCTGACGGCGGGCGAGACATCCGGCTCTTCCCCTGAAGCTTGACAGACCCGGCGGCTTTTCGACCCGCCCTGGCCCTGGATGACGTATCTTTAGCAGCTGTCATCCATGCCCAGCCACCTGAAAAAAAAAAAAAAAAACATACAAGGAAGGGGTCCTGTCAGCAGTGCGGCACCTCTGTTCAACGGTCGATAAGATCAGCAGCAACCAGCTTCTTTTCCAAGACAAAATTACGGGAAAAGTCCACGCAACAAACGCATTGTTGAAATCTGATACCGCCGGCGACGTGTCTCGCTGCGGGACCACAGACTGCCTCTCGGGATCAGACACGAATACAGGGCGGTGAGGTTTCGCGAGCCCAAGCAGCTCCATCATCTTGCAGGTTGCCCAGTCGCCCAGCCACCGCTTTCCCGCACCGACTTGTCCCACGAAACCTCAAGACGCCCGACGCCTCTGCAATTTCCCGCCAAAGAACTGCACGCTACTTGAAATCCGAGCGACATCTCTCTGCAGAAAGATCGTCGCTCACGCCAAATCTCCGATCGACCTCACACTCATCAGTACCTCAGTCTAACTGACATCGACCAAAAGCACACACTCAAGACTTGGCGTCCGGAGCTTGGGCCGGCCTGTCACTCACCTAAACTAAACACACGAACAACACACTCTGAAAACTCACAACAGACGGCGACTTCTGGTCTTGACGAAGGCTTGGCCTCGCAGTCGTCACGATGCGGGCCTTCTCACTTGTTGGCCTTCCCTCGTCTCTGCTGCTGCTCATTACAGCCCATGTCGGCGCAGAGAACCCCACGGCAATCCGCAAAATGTCACCAAACGCCGGCGAGAAGCTGCTCCCCGACGATCTTGCTTTCGCCAAGGATGTCTTCGATACGCCGCTGACACCTCACGAGAAACTTCTTGCTGCCCGGATGGCCGACGACCTTTTCCTCTACAACGCCTCCTACCCGCATCGCCCGCCCTTTGCATCACACAGCTCCCAGGCTGGTTTGGGCTGGGAGCACTTCCGCCGTGCTATCGACGTGTTGAACCTCCTCGAGAAAAGACAAGCTTGCCCCACGAAGATGAACAGCTGTGAGACCATCGGTTCGCCGGATAAGTGCTGCATGACCAACGAGGTGTGTGTGAAGGTGGTGGATGAGAGTGTTGGAAACGTCGCTTGCTGTCCGGCGGGCGCATCTTGCAACGGACCTGTTGGAATCTGCCCCATTGGCACAACAAGCTGTGCGGCGGACGTCGGCGGCGGGTGCTGCATTCCGGGTTACGTCTGCCAGGGTTCCGGCTGTAAGTACACTTTCAAACTCCCAAAGGACTTTGACTGACTTGAAGAAGGTGTGCCTAGCCATATTGCCACGGCCACGACGGCAACAGCAACGGCAACGGCCACCAATGGAGGTGGCGGAGGAGGAGGAGGCGGCGGCGGTGGTGGAGGCAGCACTGGAGGAGGAGGAACTGTCACTTCAGTCCGGACCGTCACTAGCACGACCGTTTCGACGACGACACTCGCGGATGGTAGCACCACGACCGTGGTCATCATCGTCACAGTCACGCAGCGGCCCGGAACCGTCACGACGACCAGCACTTCGACCTCCACCGAGACGCCTGCAAACCCTACAACAGCCCCGGCAACTACGGCGGTCAGCACTGGCGGCGCAGTCCCTCCCTTCAGACCGACGTCCACCACCGAAGGGGACACCAACACGGCACCTTTCTGCCCGACAGGATTCTACGCCTGCCTGGCTCGCGCTGGCGGAGGCTGCTGCCAGACAGGACGAGACTGTGCTACTACCTCATGTCCGCCCACGCCCTCTACCACCATCATCTCCAACGGAGCGACCGTCATCGTGCCTGTCACCGACGTTCCGGCCTCGGCGACAGAGACATGTGCGGGCGGTTGGTTCTTGTGCGGAGAGGAGGGAGGACCTGTCCCCGGCTGCTGCCCCAGCGGATATGCGTGTGGAACGGCGAGCTGCACCACCAGCTCATCGACACAGACAGGAGAGATACAGAAGCAGTTCCCCAACTCTGGGTCGAGAGTTGTTGCATCCTTTGCGGTTGTAGCATTGTCAATGCTTGCTGCGTTGTTTTGAGGTATACACAAGATGCATAGGGCGGCGTTATAAGGATCTTTTTAGGAACGAAACGAAACGAATGGCTGAATGAGAGATGGGTCTCAAGAATCGAAATTTGCATAACACACGAAGAGCATCAGTCGCGAGATGGGTCATTAGTACAATTCAAAGGGTAGACATCCTGATGATGAAACCCAGATCTTATTTCTTGATCGCATTTCTTCCTCTCTATACAAGCAAGATGACAGCAGCAAACGCGATAACACCCGCCACATGCAGATTGCCAGATAGGGTGGTTCCCAAATTGCCTGGTGTGCTGGTCGAAGTAGGACCAGCGGTGCCTGATGGCGACGAACCAGACGTGGACGACGGCGAAGAAGAAGTGTCTGGCACACCTTCAGCAGACATGACGCGGTCAAGCACATGAATGAGGCCGTTGTTTGTTCTAGCGAGTACAATGTCAGAGGATGGCTGCTCTACAGCGGTGAGTTCAACTTACAAGACATTGGGCTGGATGACCTTGGCGTCGTTGAACCAGATCTGATTATCCTTCACCGTGACCGTAACTGTGGCGTTTTGGAGACTGGTATACTTCATGCCGTCGGTCAGGAAGTTGCTGTATGCCACCTCGGGCAGAGTGTGGAAGCTTAGTCGCACGTTAGTTTGGAAAGCTCCAGTCCAGGAGACCAAGACTCACAGCAATGCATCCGTGAGAGCGGTGTTGTTGAGGGTTTTCTCCGGGTTGCCCGCCGCATTGAAGGCGTCGGTGCTGGGACCCAGACAAGTGATGTTGGGTGTCTTGTCGAGTTCTTTCCACAAGCTGACCTTTCGCAGCGCCCCGTCGAGGCCAGAGAGTGTGTCAGAGAGTTTCTTGATCGTCGTGGAGCACACGTCTGGCGCCTCTAGAACACTGCATAGTTCGTCAGTCCAGCTCTCCGTCGCGATGGTTCAGAGAGAAACCCACGTGTTGACGACTTGGAAATAGCCGCCGTCCCACACCCCATCGATTCCCGTCAGCTCCCCCGTCTGGCCCAAGCCAGCCTGCAGCTCCGACTTTTCACCCGAAGTCCCCTGTCTGACCCGGAATTTGGAGGCACTGGCACTGGTATCCTTGGAGATGTAAAGCACCTGGCCGGTAGCTTCCGCGCCGAACTGGCGGAGCAAGGCGGGGCCGGGGCTTCGCAGGTTATTAGCCTTGTCTGTGAGCTTCGTCGGAACCGTGAGGCCCTTTGGGACGCTGAAGTTTGCCGAGGTGAGAGGAGCATCCAGGGTATGATACTGGAAGATGCTCGAAAGCTTCTCGATCGGCAGCTGGGATATGTTGGTGGCGTTATTCTGCTTCACGTACGTCTCGAGGGCTTCGTTTGTTGGCACCAGGACGGTAGCACCTCTATGGGCGTTGGTAGCGATGAGACCCGGTGCATTCTTCAAGATTGACTGGAAGCTTGAGAGGTCGGTATAGTTGCCTAGCGCATCGATCAGGCTCTGTGTAGAGGCCTGGCGCTGCTCGAGACCGCCCCATGCTGAGGCTAATGGGGTGTAAGCAATTGCCAACGTGTAGATCTGGAGGAGATGCATGGTTGACGAAGGTACCTTCCAAGCTCACCGCACAAGGAAGACAAAAAATCCCTGGCGACAAGAAGGCTGCAAATAGAGGGAGGAGGACAGCTTTAAAGTCTTCGGGCGCCTCTGAGTACGTCGTCAGCCGCAAGACTCTTTGCTACTCACATTCGAGCTGTTTTGCTGGTGGCCTCCCCGCGACCTCGCCATCGCCCAGACAGATTCGCACGCCAGCCCGAGCATGGCCAGCTGCAAGGAGGCTAGCTAGGGCGGGCTTGGTGTAGCGAAGCCCGAGAAGACCAGCGAATCGTCCCGTTGAAAACGGAGCCTCATGGCTCGTAATTCGGGGTTCAAAAAGACAAACGTTTGATGCGCATGGCCAGGCTTGCTTATGGCTGAGGTCGGGCAAGTCTCCCTGTGTTGCAATGTCTTGTCAGCTGAAGACCTGCGAGGCAAGCTTCAGCGCGAGAACAATGAAAGTCGAGGTCGTTGGGATGGCGTATCGTGCAGCGGAGCACGCCAGCAGTAGGGCTGAAGTCGGAGGCGTCGAGTCCGGCGAAGTTTAGCATTATGCTAACCTCGCAGGCCCTTAGAGTGCGTTGCTGGATTCAAGGTGATACAGCCGAGTGGATAAGCAAGACTCCATCGAAAATAGACAGAAAGGTCTGCATTTGTGTTGGATGTCTTGAGCCCTGTCTATCATCGTTTAATGTTGCAAGCAACCTTCTATGCAGTGGCTCTCACAAGAGCGGCCGTGTCAAGATGATCGTCGGGGTGTCTTCCGCTTGGAGAAGCATCCACATCGATGAACAGGCTAGACCATGCTTCGGCAATCAAGCTTAATTCAGCTGGAAAGAAAGTCCGGGGTAAGGGGTACAAATCTCTGCGTGCTCTCAACTTTCTCAAAGGGCAGAGGCAGATCTGCCCATGTTCGTGCTATTTGCTCTTGATAGACACTTGACGATTGGGTGACGGCCATATCCGTAAGAGTCTTTGCTAGCTGAGCAGTGTCCCATGGCTTCAATCGTCACCTAATACTTTGTTAAGGACGATAAGAGTAGAGAAGAATGCAAATGACGAACAAGGTCGTCCTGAATGTTGTTCGAGTAGCATATTGCGGAATGTAGTACGTCGCACACGTCTCGAGTACCTACCTACGATCGCTTCTTTTCCGAGTGTGGTGGGATGGCAAGAGGGAGGAGCAGAAAGACGGCGACGTATTTGCTGTGTTGAGCTCCCCCGGGCTCCACGTCTTGCGCCCGAGCTTAAAGAACCATGCAGGCGATCCCTGTCGATCCAGTCTCTAAATGGAAGGAAATGCCTCCCGGTGCAACTCTGTGCGAGAGCTCCCCCTTCTGTGACTGGTCAATCACAGCACATCGAGTCACTGATTGACTGTGCCGCAAGATCAATTTCCGCGGTGAGATGGTCGGCCGCCAAAGCTCTCGTTCGACATTCTCAACCAACATCGTGTCCCTTTAATGGCGCATTTTTGACGGTAATGACGGCAAAATTCTGACCCAAGCTGCCAAGCTCCGCGTCAAAAGGGCATGGTGTCGTACGAAAGATCCAAACTTTGTACGGCGCACCCGCGACGCCTTCCCGTTTGGCCGTGGCCAAGATGGCAGCCCACGCATTCGCTCCTGCACCAACCCATGATGCTGCACGAACAAGGCGAGGGAGGTAAGGTACGCAGATTGGGAAAGGTGCCCAGCTGTTTAGGCAGACAATTCGGCAAGCGTCAGGCACCTTGTGATTTTCACTGCTGCTTCCCTTGGCAACGAGTCCATCGTCGGCCAATTTCTTCGTCCTTCTCCCACTTTTCTGTTGTCTTCGCCGTCGTCCTCTTCTTCCAACATCATCTGTTCATTCCCAACCCACAGTTACCGTCACGACTTACACTACCAAGACCTCACGCATTTTCATTCCCAATACCCATATTGAGGACGTTGATATCATTGACCCCACCATTAAACCAACTTTTGGTCCTTCTGATATCCGACACCGCAATTGCAAAGCTCCTCCCACACGAACAACATGAGACAGACGACTATCCTCTCCGGCCTCACGGCCTTTCTTCCGTCCACGGCCATGGCCTTCTACACCCCGAGCTTCCTGGGCGCCCGTCAGGATAAGGCTCCCTACCAGGATGTGGTTTGCAAGCCCGAGACAACTGGCCAACTGCCCCCTTGTGTCCAGATTGAGAACATTGAGGTCGCCTGCAAACCTAACGGTACCGACGCCGTTTACTACGAAGCCCATGCCCAGTGCATGTGCGGCGGCTCCTTCTTCGCCGAGAAGCTTGCCTGCGAACGTTGCCTTTACGTCCATGGTCTGAGGAGCGAAAGAGACCTGGCGTACTATAGTGGCATTCTGTCATCAGCCTCCAACGCTCTCTGCACCGGCACTCCCACAGCCGTCTTCGCCAGCGTCTACTCATCTATCCAACAGGCTGCCACTCCCGTCACCACCGGGGGCACTGCCACTAGTGACCGCGCCGTCAGTAACACGGCCATCTCTTTGTATTACACGGCCAGTGGTCCCCAAGGACCCGGCAGCATAACCGGAGCAGCTGCCAGCGCGACAGGCACCGGAGGCGAGACGACCGCCGCCGAGTCCACAACCGCGGAGCCCACTAACACCGCTGCGACCCGCTCAACATCGAGCAACTCGGCTGCCACCACCTCGGCCGGCTCCGGCACAGCTTCTGGCGCTGCTGCCACCTCCTCATCTTCTGGCAGTGGTGCTATGCCTACCTTTGCCGCTGCTGGTGGTCTTGTTGCCGGCGCCGCTGGTTTGGCTGTTTTCGCTGGATTGTAAGGACGTGTTGCTGAGAGGGAGACTTGGGCTTGAAACTTGTTCACGAACTGGCAGGCTTAATGAGGATGAAACAGACGATTTGAAGTAGTAATGAGCCATGCAGGAATCTCGTTTTCACTAAATTGCCGTTTCTTGGTGTTGATGCGATTGTACTTCTGATAGTAGCTGCGGCCTAAATCAAAGCTTCCTTAATGGCTACCAGGGGCCACAAAATAGAAGCAGCGAATCAAAAGGTTGTAGCCAGCGGATGAGAGCGATTTCTTTCATTGCATGAGAGGGCCCGTCTTGAGGGACGCTCCCGCTATCTTGGAGGATCTAGGTAACGACGGAACTGGGTCGGACTGGTTGAGTTGGGTCCGATTCCATCATAACCCTCCGGGTTCTCACACCAACCCACTTCGCAGCAGCACCAAACCTGGGGCACTCCACCTGGGCACACCTAAAGGCATCCTAGTCAAGGACCCCTCTATGGATATAAGTCCGGCCCTAGACCCTTCGTCATGCTGGATTCTGTGTTCCATATCTACTTCTCTTTCTTCTGCGTCGCCAGCTGTGACCGGCATTTACTGAGGCATGTGCTCGAAAGGCTTCTCCAGATGCTCCTGGCAGAAGGGCAGCTTGCCGACGGTCCAAATTTCGGTATCCTAAAAGTCGGTGGTTAGCTTCGGCTTGCACTTTATCGTGCCGCACACGGCGACGCCAGAGAGCGATGGCGCGACTCACAGGCTTCAATGTCTTCTTGATCTCGGAGTCGAGGGTTCCGCCCTTCAGAGCAATGATCTCTGGGGCCGCATCGGGGTCGTGGGCAATCGGAGAGCCACACTCAGAGCAGAAGATACGGTGAACGGCCTTGCCGGAAGAGCCCTTTCCCGCCCAGCTCTTGGTGGGACCGTTGATGGTAAGCTTGTCCTTCGGAACGACGACAACGAGGGCTTCTCAAAGTCAGCAAGACGTTGGGAAAGAGTTGCCCAGGGGATCATTCATCGGAAAACGATCCAGCACGCTCTCGGCTGCTGATCGGCCTGTCTCGGCCTGGCATTGGGTTCTACTCACAATAGGTTGAGCCGCTTTGGCGCTGACAGTCATCGCAGTGGTCATAACCAGTGATGAGGGGGGCGTCAACGTCAACCTTGTAGGTGACGGCCTTGCAAAGGCAGTGTCCGGACAGAGGCATGATGTATGATGAGGCTGGGGTCAAGCAAGGGTTCTTGAGCTTCGAGAAAGGGGATTTTGAGTTGACCAGAGACAGTGCAGTGCAACAAACTTCGACGTGAAGGCTACCGAACGATTACAGACGGGGACGAGCCCTTTTTGTTTTCTCTCGATGGAGGGGGCGGGGTATCTCTGATCTGATTCCGCTGCAAGTTTTAGCTGGTGGCTCCCTGGCGCCTTGCGCGCTGACCTCTTTATGACGACGTCACTTACCCTATCGAGACTTGGGGTAGAATCGGACAGGTGGGGAGATGGACCGAAACCGTGAAATTGGAGTTTTCCGACGGCGGAATGGCTACCGACGCGACTCAAGCTGATGTTGTTGGGGAAGGCTTTCTTGCGAGGGAGTTCGATTGTCCGGGAGAGTGACGAAAGAAATGCTGTGTCGATGGCAGACCACGGACCTGTTCTTATATACACGACATTGACCGTCTTCGAAGTCTCCTCGACGCCTGCGCCGTGGCTGCACGCCTGAACCATGGCTTCTACCTCGAACGCAACATGGACGACGAAGTTTTGCTCGAACGCCTCCGAGGGGCAGTGAGGAGAAGAAGGGCCCACCTCAGCCAAGAAACGTTTCTGTCAGCGCTGCAGGCCATGGCGATCCTGGCATCCTGGCATGTCATATTCAGTGTCGTTGGACAAACCATCCTTGTTCACGTTTGTTGGACAGGGCGGCGTGGCGGGAGACAAGAAACACTCTCGCTCAGACACGACGATGGACAGTCATCGATCCCTCCTGGGGTTCCAATCAAGACTGCAGCGCGTGGGATGCGTGTCACGACAGAGCTATTCCTAGTCAGGCGAGCATAGCATGTTCCTGTCTCGAAGTCGAACAAACAACCCCACGGAGGCACACGGAGGGGCCCGGAGCAGAGGGAGATCAAACTGAACCTCAGTTTTGGAACGTCGACGGCCAGCTCCTGGGGCAAAGCTCTCAATTCACTTTTGGCATGCGTATTTGTCATTTGGGTCCATCCCCATCATCTGATATCAAGCTTTGGATGAGTTTTCGTTTATCCTCAGCTACGGTTTGCTGACAGCTCGGGCGTCGAGCTTCTCGAAGTATTGGAGGCATTCTCGAAAGCTGCCCCGCCTTGACAACGGGACGATTTGGAATTTGATGCGGGGCCTGCCCTAGCGCTCCTGCACCTTCCCGGTACCTTAAGCACACTACCTACCTACGCCAGAGCAGCGGGTGCCCGGGCTAGCAATGATAGGTACCTGCCTAGCGCCCGGCACCTCGAGTCGAGGCCAAACACCACACGGCTTGCCGACTGCGTGGATGAGCCAAGCGCACCTGCGAGGGCTTCGCAAATCATCACAGATGGGGAAGCTGCAGCCACCAGATACGGTACGAGTCGATTTCTGGGCCAGCTGCCTCATGGGGCGCGTGACGTTACCCAAACCCCCAAGACATCCACCCGCAGCTCCCCCTCCATGATCCCCTGGCCTCCCAGAAGTCGGGGAACCACTCATGGCGGGGCAGTGAGCGCCGGGTAAGCTCCATTTGAAGATCGGGAGGCAAGCCCGAGTAAGCTGCCACCATCCATACCTTACACCATACACCAGCGGCCGTTGCGTTATTGGATGACTGATATCTGTCAAAGTGGCACATCGGACAAACTCTCCTTTTGACAAATTCTCTCTGGGGAGAGGGACTTCAGACCGAACGATAGAAGGACGGGTAAGGACACGGACAGGGCAAGCTGCAGGACTAGAGTCTGGGAGGTAGCTTGCTGTCCCAAAGTGTCTTGCCCAGGGCCAGAAAAGGCAAGGTAAGGTGACCCCATCCAGCGAAAGGGACCTTATGCAAATACTATGCAATGCGGCGTCACCGCCCCCTCGAAAAGCCAACGAAAATCCCGCCGGATATGTATCCACCGTGAAAGACGATGCACGATGGTGGTATTTGAAATACCGCCTGTACCGGAACGCAAACATGAATACACAGCTCCACAGTTTGATGGATTTACAAAATTGGTGGCATCCCATTGGCATCTCCGCGGCAGACAAGATGCACCGTCATCAGAGTTGCGTATGTCTGCTGCAACGAGCACATCAGGTTAAACGAATATGTGGGTGATCTGTCATGTTTGCCTTGGGGCCCGCCCGGCCTTATCTGAGGGGGGAGAGAGAGGAAAGCAAGCTGTCTCCCCCAATGACGACGGGCCACGGAGACAACTCACTCGCGTCAGGACGATCTAGACGCTGGGCGATGCAGTCCGGCACGGCGGTCGCATGTTTGATCACCGTCTACCTACATGAAGCCTAAAATCGACTGGAGAAACTTGCATGTTTTCCCCTTGCGCCACGTTTTGGGACGTTCCGCGAGATAGTTTGGAATCATTTTATTTCTTTTTTTGCTTGTATTTTTCGACGTGTTTTATCCAGAAACTAAGCGTGTCTGGCCTGGCCTCCTGTCTCTCTCTGACGGAAGACCTCATCTAATTCCACAGACCGGCATGGTCATGCGTGGCGCTTACTCACCTTTTGTAGCGTCTTGCATGGTTTCACGATCTCACGAGCAGCGGAGCAATCGTCGACGCGAGAATCCAGGCAAAGCCGGCGCGCAGGATGAAGTGTTGCATACCCAGCAGCTCGACGCTTCCCAGGGCAAAACGGTCGGCAAGGAACGTCCGCAAGACCAGGGACCTGTATGCGCTGCGCTTTGCTGAGTCGTCGCCCCCGAGAACGAAACCGTCCATCGAAGATATCCGGAAGTCGCGGATGTCAATCTTCTCCACGTCTTTGCCGGCTGTAGAAGACGCCGGGGTCGCGCTGGAGGTGAGTGGCCTCTCGATGCGTTCAGGTCTTTTCCGAAGGGCGCGGATGGCCCTGAAGTAGATGAAATCCATCGGGTTTGTCGTCTTGAGCGGCGGGGTGGGCTTCTTGAGGATGAGTTTGGGAAGAAGGTCGGGGCGGGAGATGTGGATTGTGCAGTTGTCCTGGAACTCGCAGCAGACGGCCTCGAGGTCATGGGCGTAGTGCACGAAGCGGGAGTAGAAGGCCGGCGTGAGGACCTTGAACTCCAGTTCCTCTGTGCGTTTCGGCTGTTTTTGGGCAGCGGGGGAGAGCATCACTTCCGTGGGCGCCAAGTCAGCTGCGATGCCGGAGGGGATGTACTTCACGGACAGGGCGGCGGATGACTTTTCGACGAGGTGGCGGAGGTAGTCCCGGAAGAAGGGCTCCAGGCCTCGTTCTGCCGCGTCGGCGTTCCTGCCCATGCTTTGTTTGAGGGGCTCCGGACGGAACCAAACGTGCAGGCTCCTGCGGAAGAAGAGCAGGGCGGCCTGGTGGACGATGCGTGGGAAGGTGACGAAGCCTACCCACCACCAGCTGCACAAAAAGGTGAGCTTCTGTGAGAGGCCCATGGTGGCCGGGTCAATTGCGGGGGCGGACGAGAAGAGGCGGGCGATGAGTTTTGGGTGATCTTTGGAGGATTTCAAGGTAATGGTGGTGTCGAGGTTAGGCAGGCCATGGGGGCCGGTGCTGAAGAAGTCGACGGCCGAGAGGGAATAGGAGCCCTTTCGCGAGTTGAACGGGGAGACGTGGAAGTCCTTGGGCCAGTGCTTGGTCATTCTCACGGCTGACGTCTGCGTGGACTCATTGCTGCCCAGCGAGTCTTGGGAAGAGGCCTTTGCCTTTTCGCTCCCCTCGACACGCTGGCAGGCAGAGATGACGTCCGAGGTGAGGAAGTACATCCTCCTTTCGTCAAAGGTGTTGTTCACCTCGAGGACCATGGCCGTCAGCTCGTTTTCTTTAGAATAGAGATACCAGAAGGAGACGGGATTAAAGTGGTATCCCAGAAACCTGGCGGCGGTGACGAGGTAGGCAGTTGGATACTGCGCCGGATCCGCGCCCTGCTTCAGGTTAGCTATGCGGTTCCAAGAAGTTGAGTGACACGACGTACTTGGGAAGTCAAGTATGCATCTAGCTTCCCCCTTAGCCCAAGATGACCATTGCCTCTCTCGAGGTAGTCCGCCGGGTCGATGTCGAACCAGCCCTTCGAGGGCGGCGACAGCAGCGAGAACCACGAGACGAGCCACGACGACCAGCTGCGCTTGTCGATCCCGCTCGAGACCATGCCGCCGTAGTTCCCTGTCCAGCCAACCGGGATGCCGACGACGAGATACGAGTACGCAAAGTCGTGCTTTTCGGGAAACGTCCGCCGATGCGTCGTTTTGGCGGGTACCAGCAACGGCCGCATCGGCGTCGTGAACTTGGCTTTCGTTCCATCCTCCTCCTCCAAGAAAGAGCCGCCAAAGCGGATCAATGCCAAGACCAGCAGGGCGAGCGCGGCGCCGGGGAGCGTGTAGACTGCATGCTGGAGCGTTGCGGCGTCTACGTGTTCCTCGACCAGGTCCGTGACGGCGTGCCGGTTCTGCCATGCTGAAAAGAGGAGCACGAGGAGGGTGTCCAGCCAGCCGCCGGCGAGCGCAAAGTGGCCGAGGCCCGCCAGCAGGGCGAACGGCCGGAGCGGTCCCGGATCAGCGGTCCGCATATCGTTGAAGGTTTGCAGGAGTTCCGGGTCTCTGGGTGAGACGGGACGGGATGGTGGAGGTTGTAACCCGGGCGGCCGAGGAGCAAGGCGCGGCGTGGGTAGTGTGAATTAAGTATATGGCGCTCAGAGGCACCAGGGAGTTCTACGACGAAGACAGGTTCATGGTTTCTTCGCGGGAGCGGAATGCGCACGGTACATAAACAAGTGCCATCAAACGAGAAGCGGTTTTGCAATCGTGGTCTTGGGGGTGGAGTGCGACCAGGTCTAACAGTTTCCTTTGGCCAGATCTGGCTCTGGTTCGGTGGAGGAGGTGCGGGTTGTGGGCCGATGCACATGTTCGATGAGATCAAGACATTTGGAGTGTGAGAGTGGGAGTCCGAGTGCCTTAGTCAGCTGGGGACAATAATCACACCAACCACCTCGAGGCAGAGCATTGCTTGCTTGATGAGGTTTTGTTGTATGAAGTCAATGCGTGTCCTATTGACTGAAAAGAAGTTGAAAATGTAACGCACATAGCGTACAGGTAGGGATGATGAGAATAATAGAAGCAAGCAGACTACAATGGCCACAGACTCGAGATGACAAAGAAGACCTCACGTGCTTAGGACGAGGATGTCGCATCGCACGACGGGGAAGTAAACGCCGAAGGGGCATCCGACGTCAGTATGGAACCGGGGAAGAGTCACTCAGCCAGGAGGCCGCTTTCGGATTTTAGCGGTCTTGTCCGATGAGCAAGCACCTGGGGACACCTCTACGGCCAGACCTCTCTCTGCCCAAGCCGCAGCGCCGTCTCCGTGTGGCGCAGTCATTGACCTGAGCGTAAAAATAAGCAGGTTGGGCGAGTTCTGCGCCGTGGCCCGTCAGCTGGGCGCTGGGCTGGAGAAAGCAGCCGGCAGCTTAGCAGCAGCCTCACCCCGCCAAAAATCCCTCCTCCTCCTGTCCCTTCTTCGCCTAAGGTAGGCGCACTTGCGTTATGCAGGGATGACCGCCCCTCTTCCCTCCGCCGGTTGACTCAGGTCCACCGATTTTGCCATCCATCCCCGTCCATCGTCTTCCACCACCATATTTATTCCGAGCCATTGTCCACCACCCCTCCAGCCTGCCAAACCGGGACTGCATTCCAAAAAAACTGACGCAACAAAAAACTTGAAAGGGTCGTGAACTCCTACACACAACCAAATCCACGCAACACCAACAGCCAAAGGAAAAGAACATCAACACCTGTTCTTTTCTGTACCCCGCCGATAAGCACCACCTACGCAACCTACATACCTTCCACCCACACGACACCGCCAAAATGGATGACTGGGACAACGTCACCAAGATCGGCTCCAAGGCCCGCGGCGGAGCCTCTGCGAGAGAGACTGTCATCAAGGGAAAGAGCGCCCTCAACGCCGCCCAGCGCAGTGGTTCCGTCATTGGCACTGAGAAGAAGTTCGCTGCTGGCAATGCTGTATGTTTCCACCCTCCCATCCTCCTCGGTCCTTCTCGCCGGAATTTGCGCCCTTGACATCACCGCGCCCAACCCCTCCATGACCCACTCTCATGATGGCATCCCCCAGAGCCAAACCCGGCCTTGAGCTCTGCCCCAAAGCAATTGAACACTTTCCAGAATCGGTCGCTGACATTTGATGCTCCGTAACAGTCCTCCAGACCCGGTGTCGAGGGTCAGCGCCTGACAAAGGTCGACCGCTCCGACGACATCATCAAGCCCAACACCGTCGGCAAGGAGGTCGGCGACGCTATCTCCCAGACGCGCCAGAAGATGGAGCCCAAGATGACCCAGAAGGACCTCGCCACCAAGTGCAACACCACCCAGACCGTCGTCGCCGAGTTCGAGCGCGGCTCCGCCGCCCCCGACCAGAAGGTCCTCGCCGCGATGGAGCGTGTCCTCAACGTCAAGCTGAGGGGCAACGACATCGGCGCCCCTCGTTTCGCCAAGAAGAAATAAGCGACTCGCGGTGTTTTCATTTTGTTTGCCTTGGGCTGATCGCCGAAGGGAGGGGTAGAGCGACGGGTTGCAGCGATTGGGATACCTTATGGAGCGAAGCGGGCCAGAACGGCGTGCGCGGCCCCCCTTCTTCCTCTCTTCCCACGCCTGGGAGTCTGTGGTCTTTGGAAGGCGAAAAGAAATTTGGTCTTTATCATGACCTGGGGTTGCATAGCATGAACAAGACTGAAAAATAAATGTCTTGCGGCTGGCTTTATGAAGGTTACGGTTCCTAGACGTTTTTACAGCACAATAGATGATGTTGGCACACCAAAGCTGACGATTACAACTTTTATTTCATTACTCGAGGCATTTGGTATCGTGACTCGCAGTGGCTCTCTATGTACGTGAGCCATTTCCTCCCGCGTCAAACTCCAGCACTCGTGGTATCTTCCAAACTCCATATGCAAAAACACGCTATGCCATGCGTCGTCAGTCGAAATCCTGTATATAATCCTCCACAAGTTTGGTGTGTCCATCAAGAAAGTCTCTTCACTCTAGCCGCGAGCTCAGCATCATACGGCTTGCGCCTTGTCTGGATGACGACGTGGTCCTTTCCGCCAATTCTCGCAATCTTCAGCCACTCTGGCGCGACTTCGGTGGCCAGGATGCGCACCGTCTCAATGCCCTCCTCCACAGGCATAGGCACTCTGACCGAGTCCTTCAGCTTCTGCTGCAGAACGGGCATCTGGAAAGACATGACTGGTTGTCCAGCAGAGTTTGACGCAGCGACGAGCATGGAGATGATGGCCGCGATGTCGCCGATGCGGTGCAGCGCCCGCCTTCTCGCCACCTCGGGGCCGCTGGGAAGCTCGATCTGCGAGTTGGCAATCTCCTTGGCCCTCAGCCTGTCGAGAAGGCTCATCTTGGTGCCGTTGGAGTTGGTCGCAGCAGCCTTGGCAGCTTGTGTCTTGGCCTCCTGCTCCTGCTTCTTCATGACAATGCCGTTCTTGAGCTCGGTCAGCGCGCGTTGTCCCTTGGCGAGGGTCGGGTTCGTCTTGAAGATGTTGTTGCGGACGATGATCTCAGACTTGAGCAGGTCGTTGAAGCTCAGGTTCTCGAAGCACACGTCCAGGTCGGTCATCTCATCGGTGGCCCGCTCCGTGCAGACGATGTGGAGGTTCTCTTCGAATTGCTCGCAGAGCTTCTGCTCGTCAATGTGGCCGTTGCTCTTTGAGAAGTCCATTTCCAAGCAGAGCTTGCCGCGTCCATAGTCGGTGACAATGAACGGGGACCCGAGCATCTGCTGTTCCTGGCCAGTAGGCTTCATATCTTGGATGGCGATGCACCTGCGGATGTCGTCCATCGTGACCTTGCGCTTTCCCCATGTCCGCGTGATGTGAGGAGTGATGGTGCTGATGTCGAGCGGAGCGTTGCTGTTCTGGTGTGTAATCTGGAGCGCGACGGTCTTCAGGATGGCCCGTTGCAGGTCCAGAAGCTCGAGGAGCTCGGCAGGCAGTTGCTTCGTCGCTGGCTCCTCCTCGATCGTCGGCTCGGTAGGGGCGTTGCGTCTCTTCGATCGCGTGACCTTCGTGGCTTTGCGTCCTTCGGTCTTGGCGTGGGAGATGAGGGTCGACTTTTGAGACCTGCGGTGGGCGTCGACGGCAGTGGCAGTGGTGTTCTTGGGGGAGGTAGTCGTCGCCTTGGGGGAGTTGAGATCCTTCTTGGCGGGGACGGGCTCGTCCTTCCAGCCGTCCTTGGAGATGCGTTGACGCTTCAGAGACTCGGGCGAAGGGGCATTGCTCCTGGCTTTCCTAACGGGGGAGGTGTTTTCTTCGACGGAAGCCGCCTTACGCTTCCTGGATGGCGTGGCGGACAGTGTGGGAGGAGGTGTGGGAAGGTTCTTGACAGGAGAATCCTCGGTCTTGATTGTGACTTCCGCGGTCGAGATGCTCCGCGTCGGGAGCTCAATGTAGAAGGTCTTCTTCACGGCATCATCCACGGGAAGAGCCTGGGCCTTGGATACGCGAGTGTACTTGCTGATGAGGTTGGAAGCAGGAGGCGCGGCAGGCTTGACCTGTCGGCGTGAAGCTGCGCGAGCCATTGCGTCGAGATGTGCAGCTGCTATCTGTATGGAAAAGCTCGTGGGAAGGTGAATAGAGGTCGACAGGATGGTGAATGGAGTCTGGAAGGAAGTGATGGGGTTTGCTAGCTGGCAAGTACGGTCGAAGTCCTCAATTGGGAAGAAGTTGGAACGTTGGATCGCCAGGGAAGTCACGACGTATGTGCAGAGGTTTTGTATATTGGAAAGTAGAGTGGGGAGGTCAAAATGAGCGAGCATGGATCGCAGCTACGCGCCCCGGTCAGGGGCCGCGGACGCGACTTCTGGACGCGTTTTGGCTGCAACTCACGATGGAAGTCGCGTAAAGAGGTGGGGCGCGTTGGTGTGGATGGTCCGTGCTCCCGTGACGGGCCAACCTCGGCAACATCCTTCCCAACGGCATGGCAACAGACCAAAACGGCAACCAGGGAAAGGGCACCGGGAAGGGAAAAAAAAAAAAAAAAAAAAAAAAAAAAAAAAAAGAAGGTCCAGCTCGGTGAAGCTGCTGCTTGGCATTTCACAGCGAGCTCCTCCCAGACAGTTGACGTCGCAATCCATTTTAGGCAGTCGCTATTTAAGCATCGCCCGACGTTGCTCACTTGCTTGTCCCTGGCCGCCTCAGATCTCTGCGTGTTCAAACCTGGGGATCACACCATGAAGCGCTATTGGACAAACATGGGACGGTCTTTTTGCGCAAGGCGAACAATTCATCGAACGAGTCACCATCCTTGAGCGCTCAAACACCGTATCCATGCGAAGCGACCTTATGAGTCTTCATTATTAGGTTCAATTTGCCGACAACTGCATGTCAAACAATACGCAGAAGTGAGAGAAACCGATTGCTAGCTGCCCCGAGAAGTCGTCCTTCGTCTCAAGCCAGTACAGGTCGTTACTGCTTCCCCGAATAATGCTGAGAAGAAAACCCTAGTGCCCATGATAATCCTACTTTTGTATAAATCCAGTTTCAAA